GATAGTATGATTAATAATAAATCATAGGTAAATAAAAATCTGAATGTGCAAAATTTCTAATGACATTCTCTTCAAAAACAGTCAAGTCATTAAAAACGTAGATAAATAATTTTGTAGTGCAATTATGTCGATAGCATTTAGCAACACACGTGCTAAATTATATCTTTCAATAGACGTGACAACTCTGAGCCGACTCAACAGTTCAGTTCAGTTAGTCTTCAACCGTTGAGCAACTCAGCAACTAAATTAGCAGTTCAAGGTACAATGATGGACAAATATACCGACAATCTGCAAGCCAATGGATGACTTGCAGCTCAAAATACAAATAATAAAAATTGAACTGATCTGTGAGCCAGTCATTGATCTGCGTCGCACGAGTGAACCGTGATCTGATCAGCAAACCATTTTTATTCGATTTAACCATATCTAGTTACTATAACAGTTGTTGTATAGGACGTTATTAACCGTATGCACTAATTCTAAACAAAAATTATTCTCATCCCATTAAATTACTTTGAAATAACTATTACTAATAAGATGTTGCTCCCGACTTCGTCCGCGTGGAATTAAAAAATAATAAAAAAAAACATACCCTATGTTACTTACTAAAAAATTACCTTTCTAACGGTGTAACAATTTTTAAAATCGGTCCAGTAGTTTTTGAGTTCAATGCATACAAAAATACAAATGTTTACTCTTTATAACTTGCTTTCGCTCGCGACTCCGGACCCGGACCGTAGACTTAAAAAAAAACAAAACTGGTTAGCCTATGTGTTCCTCCAGACTATTCTCTGCATCTATTCCAAATGTCATCGAGATCCGATCAGCTGTTTAGGCTACAAACTCTAACAAATATCTGTCCATACAAACTTTCGCATTTATAACATTAGTAAGATACCTGTATTTGACAGAGATCCTTATACATACTCGAAGCATCAATTACATCTACAAATGTTTTTCGTTTCAAATCCCAATACTTCTTTTGTCTTGTCTCTTCGTTTATATCATCAATGATGTTCAGTTGTTTAGTTTTTAATTCTGACGCCCATAAATCGATTAATATTCTCAAAAATTTAATCATTCGAACCACGTAAATTATATTCAAATCGTTTATTAACAATGTAACAACAACAAATCCGTAAAATAATTCGAAATTTGTAATTCGTACATGAATAAATACGATAATGAAATGAAACACGATTGTTATAACAACATACAACCAATTGAAAATTGTTATTTTTTTGCAAAAACCATCAGAGGTTATACATTTCTTGATATTTTTAATTTTAATAATAAAATCCACATTAGTTTCACAATGAACAACATTCATATATGAGTTAAGGAGGTAACTAAATGCGTAAACGCAAAAATTCACCATAAGTAACGTCAACAAAACAACATCCAGTTTAAAAATGCCTTCATCTAAGAAGATTACAATAAAATACGTTGTAATAAAAACTACAGAACTACATAATGATATAAAATTAACAAAACGGCTATTAGAAGTTATAAAATTATATCTAATACTATATTTAGTGGATAAAGTAACATAATGAAGTAAGTTCAAAGGTCGCAAGAACAATTGAATATCTCTTTCAATGGAATTATCTAAAAAGATTTCATTAGGACTATAATTTAATACATATTTCATCTTGAAAACAATTATTAAATACTATTTTAAACATAGATCTTAGCTGACCACGATATTGCGTACAAATAAAACAGTTTCTTGATTTCGTTTCAATTAAGATAATGGATACGATGTTAATTTGTTTTAACTCGAAATACTAATTGACATGAATATTGTTTTTCAAAACATAATATATTTGAAAGATATAATTAGTTTTCGATTCAATAAATCAATCACACTTCGTACTAATCGTACTAATATAATAAATGCGAAAGTTTAGATGGATGGATGTTTGTTAGAGTTTGTAGCCTAAACGGCTGAACATTTTTTTAATGAAATTTGTTACAGATTTAGAGGATAGTTTGGAAGAACAGATTTTTATTCCACGTGAACGGATTCGCGGTTGAAAGCTAGTTAATAATAAACAGACAAGGAAATATTTGTGTTGACCGTTATGTAAAGGGTGATGATAATGATAATAAATAAATAAATAAATAAATAAAATAACATTTAATCTTATGAAATCTTTACCATTCTAGTTCTTCATTTATTTTGTCATGATGATGACAAAACAAATGAAGAACTAGAAGGGTATAACATAGAAGCAAAACAAACAATTTAGAGACATATACATTTTATTAGATACCATAAACAAATTGATTTGAATACAATTTTGATTCCATAGACAAAACAAATGAAATTAAAAAATTAAAACAATCTGCCGCAACCACAACCACTGTTGTAACCTAAACCTGCGTATGAGATACCATCAGCGAATCCCAGACCAGTACCGATAGCATCTTCATTCAGAATACGAACATCACCAGACCCACAGCCGTATGCCACCGCGCCCGCACCTGCTGACGGTACCGCACCCTCCAAGTACGTAGTACCCAAGAATGGTAACTCACCAATCACAGCAAGAATACCTGCATACTCATTCTCTGATATAACAGATACCCCACTAGGAGGTGCTGCGGAGTAGCTTCGGATAGCAAAACCACCGCCATCGGCAGCGGATACTATAGCTTCATAATCACTACCCAATACCCCGCAAGATCTGGGCAGTGGATATTCATTGTAAGTCAGTCCATTACCACAGCTGCCGATGTTGTAGGAGTTACGGAGGTGGCAAGCGCCGTACACATTCTGAAACATTAAAAAATCAAAAGTGATTATCACACACTAGCGCCTCTGCCTGTTAGAAATTAAAAGTAATTAAAAGATATAGCCTGACAGCTTTTTAATGGTGAAAGAATTTTTGAAATTGGTTTAATAGTTTTTGATTTATTTCAATATCTACGTAAATACAAAAAAAAATCAGAAAAACGAATTTTACCACTTTATAATATTAGTGTAGTGACTAGATATAATACAAGTCAGTATAGATTGATGGAGACGTTTTTGGTACAGAATGTTACTATGGAATGGAGATGCATACAAAGCTCCATACATACTTCCATTCCGTGTAAAATCATGTGGAATATTAAACTGATAGTGAATACGAAAATACCTGAATAGTTCCTGCAACTGTACACGCCAGAAGAACGAAGTAAGCGGCCATTTTGCGTATGTTTTTCGAGTTGTGATCCCGGAATGAAAATGACACATTTCTACTACGCTTTTATAGTCAAATAAATTACAAAATTAAATTGCATTTTGCTAATATTTCGTCAAAACAAACGTGATGATAATAAGTATAATAGCATAAACTGCAATGCAAATAAATAAAAGAAAACTTTCAAAATAACCAAATCTAATGGAGTAGGAAAAATCCCCCAAGGAAATTTAGTAACCTAACTTTTTTTTTATAATAATATAAGGTGGCAAACGAGCAAGCGGCCGTCTGAATCCACCGTAATGGAAAGCGACCGCTGCCCATAGACATCCGCAATTGCAGATGCGTTGCCTACCCTTAATTGACGGAGGAGGAGACACACATAAAGGAGAAGATCATATAGATAGAATTCAAGAGGTATCTTTCACCTTAAATCTCAAAAAAGTTGCATCAACCTCTGAAATGCCTAACAGTAAAGATAGATACAAATAAATTTCTTTTCACTAACACTAACAATACCGTTATAATGCAAGAATTAAATGTTTTGCAACTTTTCGCCTACGATAATAATTTTTGTATAAAAGGGAATGCAAATCATCAAATGTCATACGAATTAACCGTAAACAAACATGTCTTCACTTACCTTCTTCCTCGTGATTGTTGGCTTCCAAGCTGTGGTACAGGTAAAAACAATTTTCTTTTTTTTTAAAACTTATTTATTTATGTTGTTATATGCCATGTCGTTTCTTTTTGATTTTAATCAAAAGCATTATGGGTCTCAAATCCATGTAACCTACTTCAGAAGAGTCATTGATTTTAATTGCATTTATTTTAATCTATGATTAATTTAACAGACCACATTCGGCCAGTGTCTTGGTAATTATCCGTTAAATGGATTTGGTAATTACGAAACTGGTTGCGGTCGTCACGGCTTTGGAACTACCTTGGGCTATGGAATACCTGAAGCTATCGGAGGATATGGTGGAGAAGGTATTGGTGATTTGGATGTAGCTGGTGAGCTAGCGGTAGCGGGAATTACCGCTGTTGCTGGACAAGTCCCGATATTGGGCGCAGTCCAATTCGGAGGCGAAGTGCCAGCAGCTGGCATCGTTACCATTTCTGGAAGGTGCGGTTGTGATTGCAATGGTTCCCCGTTGTTTTAAAGCATTTTCAAAATAAACATTTGAACAATTCCTGTCTGTTTTAATTTAATTTTTTATGTCGTTGCTACAATAGGACATAGAAACTACAAATTCATACATATCATTTTGCAAATTAGTTAAACAATTGTTATTAAAAATGCATTAGGATTTCAGTTACAAATAATTTGATCGGCAACTTTTTCGTAACTCATAGCAATTTGCGATAGTCACGTATTTTCAGATTCAGTTGTATAACAAATGCAATGCAAAAGTAAATTCATAATTTTGTAATTTTGCCAGGAAACTATTAAAATAGTATCTATTAGCAGCTTTGCCTTTGTAGAATGAATAGAAAAATCAAATAATAAAGCTTTTTAACACTTTCTGTAACAACATTGATACACTTGAAGTAGAGGAGTAATTCTGCTCATACCTTTTTATAACAGAGAAAAAACATTTCACAATAAAAGATTTCTATCGAGAAAAAATAATTTATCTGAAAATTACTGTCATTTGCAACGTCAGATTGACAATGACAAGTTGTCAGTTCAATTCAGCTCGGTCTATATCGTATCGGTTGGCAAAAAAAGTGCTTGTTTTTAAATATAGCGCCTAATTTTGGTATTTTACTACTAGTGGTTTAAAGTTATATACCTTACATAAAGGAATATATAAAATGTTAAAAGCTGTTATATTAATAGGAGGACCTCAAAAAGGTATTTGTTTAACATTGCCAACGTCACCGGCTTTTGTTATCTCTTGTGTAAAAAATTACAATGATCATATTTCATAGTAAACATCAGTCGAAGTCCCTAATAATGTATTTAAAGCATGCTATACAAAGAGACAAAACAAAACATCGACATCAATTGGTTACTTCATAAAATCCCGCGTAATTCTCAGGTCAAATGGGAGGAATTCAAAATCGTCTTGTTTAAAATTTAAAACTTTTTCAGAATCGTTACATTGTGTGAACAACGAAATTAACAAACTAAATTATTTCGCACTAGCTGTTGCTCGCGACTTCGTCCGCTTGACAATTAAAAAATATATAAAACATACAGCCTATATTACTAACTAATAACGTAGCTTTTTAATGGTGTAAGAATTTTAGAAACCGCCCAATGGTTTTTGAGTTATTTTAATACATACAAAAATATAAATCTTTCCTCTTTATAATATTAGTATAGATAAACATGGACAGTAATAGTATTTAAAAATTGAATTCTTAAAGACCATTATATGTGTGTGTAAAAACAAACTGTGTCTCTAATGACCTCCAAGAATTTTTTATATTTTTTATTTAGGTACCAGGTTTCGTCCACTATCATTGGATACACCAAAACCGCTGTTCCCAATAGCTGGTCTGCCATTGATACAGCATCATATAGCAGCATGTGCTCAGCTAGAAGAATGCAAGGAGATTTTAATTATTGGCTCCTACACTACAACTCATATGATGCAATTTGTTACTGATATGCAAAAGGAATATCATGTTATTATTAGGTGAGAAATATTGCAAAATACAGTATTATATAAGACTAGCTGTTGCCCGCAACTCCGTCAGCGTGTAATTAAAAAAAAGACAAAAGCAAGCCTCTGTGTTCTTCCAGACTATCCTCTACATCTAAACCAAATTTCATCGAGATCCCTTCAGCTGTTTAGGCTCCAAACTCTAATGCTATCTTAACCAAATTAAACATTGCATACAAAACTATCTTTATCAATGTCATTAAATTTGTCCCATGATTATACAATATGTTCCCCTGGACTCTCTGTGTGGAATTCTATTTTTTTTTCTAAGACTGACTTCTATGCTCAACATCTATGTAGACTACAGTCTAGAAGAATATATATGCTATCAAAGCTAGCAATAAGCTATGAAATTTCAATGAGATCCGTTCAGCCACTTAGGCTGTAAACTCAGTCAAAATAATTACCCATTTAAACATTTGCATATAATTTAAGGCAGATTAACAATGTTACTGTTAACCTATGTTATTTAGTTTTTTATGTACAGGAGAACCTTGATAACTTAAAGTCCAAGCGAAACACAAAATATTTTAAGTTAAAGAGGTTTTAAGTTATCAAGGGTCTATGTTGTAGAGGTTTTGGGCTCTGATGAGAAGGGAAAATATAATTTTTTGAAGTTATAGAGGTTTTTAGGTTACCGAGGTTTAAGTTATTGAGGTTCTACTGTATATTTTCAGATATTTACAAGAGTTTACAGCATTGGGTACTGGGGGAGGTCTCTATCACTTCAGAGATCAAGTGCGGGCAGGCAACCCGAGTGCATTCTTCTTACTAAATGGTGATGTTTGTGCCGACTTTCCCCTGAAGGAATTATGGACCTTCCATGAAGAGCGGCAGAATGCTTTGGTAAGTTATTTGGTGAACTCCTTAAAACTAGTTTAAATCTTTAAAGCACTGGTTAAAATAATTGAATTTAGTGTAAAAAGTGCAAAATAACTATATTTTCAACACTAATGGTATTGAAAAGTAATCATTATGTTTGTTAAAATGATAAAATAGTTAGTACTTCACTATTTATTATTTTTAAAAGGGTGTTATTTCCTGTAATACACCAAAAAGTTTTGTACATGTATTTTATATTCTTAGTTTGTACTAAGAATCACATCACATTGTTGTGACCATACTTCTCACTTTGGGAGGGATAGTCCCACTTTTGCAAATAGAGTAGTGACGCCTTTTAACTAAAACACAATTTTTTTTTGTGTAAAAATTTGATCACAGTATATATATCAGATTCCCTTAACATGTCATCATTTCAATTTTAACTCTGCTGAAGCAATCCATTTAACCTATCCATAAATCCTTTCAGGTAACAATAATGGGTACGGAAGCAACCCGTCAACAATCAATTCACTATGGTTGTATGGTGCGTGAGGCGTCAACGAAAGCTGTAACACATTATGTAGAGAAACCAAATACATATGTATCGACACTAATCAACTGCGGTGTGTATGTATGTTCATTGCAAGTTTTCCATACAATGGCTGAAGCGTTACAGAAGAAACAAGATGGATATTACAGGTAATGTCATACTAAATATCTTTCTGAATTGCCTTTGGTTTTTTATTAATAGATTGTTTATAAATTACCAATTATATTTATTACTATTACCATTCCAGCCAAACTTTAGACTTGCATGTAAAAAATCCATCTTCTTACTAATAATATAAATGCGAAAGTTTTGATGGATGGTTTGTTAGAGTTTGTAGCCTAAACTGCTGAATGGATCTCATTGAAATTTGATGAAGATGTATTGGATACAGAACACAGAGCCTATTTACATTTCTTTTTTTAACCCTTAAAAGCATGATAATGCATTTATACATCAGATTTTACTTCTTTACCTAATTGGCCATTTAGAAAAAACATTTTTTTCTTTATTCTACCCTTAATCTATGTTCAATTTACTGCCAGTTCCAATTTATGGTATTTAAAAAGAAAAAATCGTGCATTTAAGAATTAAAAAGCACGCGGATGGAATGGCGGGCGAGAGCTAGTAGATAATAAACGATATTGTTAGCTTGTGTATAACTATAATTTCTGATTTCCATTGAATTCGACCTTAAACAATTTAAAATCGATTGCAAGGTTTGACCTTTGTGAGTAATATTGACCTTGTTCTATTCTTTTATCTTTATTTAGCACTTTAATGGGTATAAATTCCAGTTTTTGAGCCAAAATTTTTATTATTGTTTAGTATTTGTTATAGTGCGAGTGGACAAAATGGTTCTCATCCTGGTTATATGTCATGGGAACAAGATGTGTTAGCATTGCTCGCGGGGACAAATAAACTATTTGCTATGCAGGTAATCTATACTTATATTATGCAGAGGAATTATTTGTATTTTTGTATTGGAATAACTCAAAAAACAAATGAAGGTAGAGGAAGACCGGAAAATATGGATGGATTGTGTAAAAGAGGATATGCTTAAGAAAGGAGTGGATTCAGATATGACGGCTGATAGATGTATGGAAGAGCACATACTGTGCCGACCCTCCATAACGGATGAGGGCAAGTTAATGAAATAACTCAAAAACTACTCGGCCGATTTTTTTAATTCTTTCACCATTACAATAATATATCTGTGAGTAACGTTGGTTGTATTTTTTTATTATTGTTTTAACACGGACGAAGTCGCGATAAAAGCTAGTAACCAATAAAATATCTGTATTTATTCCAGGTTAATAACTGGTGGTCTCAAGTGAAGACCGCCGGCTCTACGATATACGCTAACAGACATTACCTAGAGTTAAATAAACAAAAGCAGACAGACCCTCCCTGCCAGATATTGCCCGATGTCTTCTTACATCCTTCTGCCGTGGTAGACAGCACCGCTGTGGTGAGTAGGGGTTTAACACATAGGAGGTTTTTACCGCAATTTGTATTAATGAATTAAATAATTGTATAATAAAATATGTTTTTATTTATAATATTATAAATATGATAATATTAAAAAATATGCCCTTGTCTATATTTTTGAAAGTCTATGTTTTTGACCGACTTCCCAAAAGAAGGAGGTACTCAATTCGTCTGTATGTTTTTTAATAAACCTAATAGACGGGTTTATACTGTAAAGCAGTAAACACGCTAACCTGAATTCGCCGAAATAGCGGAGAGACGCCCATTAACACCCGCAATTACAATTGTCCCCTACCCAAATCAATAATCAATGGGGAGGAGATGCATAATTTTATTTCCCCTTCCTCTATCACCGTCAAATCAATTTTCTTTTCCTATACTTTCTAAACTTTTAAAACGTAACAGTGTAGATTCAATAGCCTAATTTAGTCATTCCTAGCACAAGCCTAGAGCTTAGTTGGAATGGTAAAAAAAAGAACTCGCTTTCACACAAAATCTGTTTGCGTTGAATTAAAAAAAATAAAAGTAAGTAGCCTATGTGATCCTTTACATCTATGACAAATTTCATCGAGATCCATTAAGCAGTTTAGGCTAAAAACTCTAATATCCATCCATCTGAACTTTCGTATTCTTAATACTATAAAGATAAAGAAATATCTACTAATATTAAAAAAAGCATGTTTTTTTGTTTGTTTTTAGATAGGACCGAACGTGTCAATAGGCGCGGGTGTGACTGTGAAGGCGGGAGTTAGGGTCAAAGAATCTATTATTCTCAATAATGCGACTATAAACGAACACGCCCTAGTCATGTATTCTATAGGTAAGTGTCAAGCGCCAAACATTCATATTCAGGGAGGTTTTTAGGGCGTTAGAGTGGATGTGTTCAGGGCGTTAGAGTGGATGTGTTCAGGGCGTTAGAGTGGATGTGTTCAGGGCGTTAGAGTGGATGTGTTCAGGGCGTTAGCGTGGAGGTTTTTAGGGCGTTAGAGTGGGGGTTTTGGGCGTTAAAGTGTAGGGTTTAGGCAACACGGAGAAGTAAAACTTTGTGTCGTAGTTCTAGAAGATTACTAATTACTAAACTAAATACGTTGACAACGCGCAAGGAATGCTATCTATCAGAGAAGAAAATTGTCATTTATGACACATGACATATGCGTTCCGATTCACACTTGTGTCGGACTTTAACCCGTTTAAAAAAAGATTGAATTATAAATGAGTTTTTTTTATTCGAGGTTTAACGTTAATCTCGTTTATCTAATTCAGTAAAATTATTATTGACAGTTGGTCAAGATGCCTCAGTAGGGGAGTGGTCACGTTTGGAAGGAACCCCTTCAGATCCCGACCCTAACAAACCCTTCGCCAAAATGGACAACCGGCCCTTATTCAATACAGACGGACGACTCAATCCTTCAATTACTATATTAGGTAAGTAACTCTGATCACCTATTATTTAAAAAAAAATAGGTAATTTATTAAAAAAAAAAAGTACTTGGTTAACTTTACTCCTAACAATCCAAAGCAAAAAATGATTTTAATTTCTATATAAACAAATTGTTATTTTCTCTACTACTTAAAAATAAGTAAGTAAGTAATCTAACATTACTAGTACCTAAAAATTATATATCCATTACAAAAACTACAAAAACATGCGAGGACAAGAAATTACAAGTACATAAGATAGAAAGAGATAGATAATAGTTTGTCAACTCCACAGTTGAATGACTTGTATCGCAGCTGGACTTATATGTATCCAAATTTATATATCCACAATATCCCTTATAAGCGATTATGGATAAGGGATAAATATTTAATTTTTTCCTAAGGTGCGGGCGTGGTGGTCCCCGGTGAGACGATACTTCTAAACTCTATAGTGTTACCGCACAAACTTCTCACTAGAAGCTTCAAACACGAAATTATTTTATAATAATTATTATTATTTATGTCCACAACACAATATTTTAATAACCCATATATGCCTCCAGTTTTTGAGTCGGTGGCACTAAATGTGTTAAAAGATTTATATTGGCGACTAAATAAATAGAAAGGAAAGGAAGAAAGTTTCTCCTATCCCTTTCCTATGACTCCTATCTCTATAGAATTTCTCTATAGCTTTGGTTGAATTTAATTTTTTTTTTTCATACATATTCCTATGTAATTTTATCCATTCTAGACGTCCTTTTTCTAATCTAGAATGTTCTTGTATCCCATTTTAATGTTTTCATAAAGCAATCTTAAGTTTATGACTATTAAAAGCTGCCAGAAAAGCTTCCTTAGTAAGATCCGGCTCGAAGGACCACTTGTTTGATTCTAATATTCTCTATATATGATGTATTTAGGAGAAAATAAATTTTGTTAACTTGTATTTGTAAGAAAAAGGAATTCAAAAATGTAGAAATTGCAAAAAAGAAAAGGTATTTTGAAAGTCTGACATAAAAGCTGCGAGCGGCACGCACTAGCTTCGTTTTATTACTGTAAAATTTAATTTAAGCACAAATAATTTTATACAATCGTTTTAGTTGGAACTTACCTTTATTTGATTGGTTTTTCTGAGATATTTTAAAATTAGTATGTTTTTTAGTATCTGGTCTCAAATTATTATAGGCCAATTACCATCCCTTATCTAGTGGAATTTAAAAAAATGTGTTTTCTAACTAGCCTTGCGATACGATCTATTTAGCAAAACTATGATCAGGCATATTTAAAAATGATATATTCCAATGTTATTCAAAATGACACTTTCAAAAACTAGAAATAAATCAACGATATTTTTAATACCATATATGAAAACTGGTTGTGAGGGTTACGTCTATTATGAACATACTTATGTACAAAAATCATACTAATATTATAAATACGAAAGTTTAGATGTATGGATGTTGGATGTAGCCTAAACGGCTTAACGGATTTCGATAAATTTTGATAAGGATGTAGAGGATAGTCTGGAAGACCACATTGGCGACTCACTTTTGTTTTTAAATCCCACGCGGACCGAGTCGCGGGCGATAGCTTGTGTAATATAATAGTTAATACAAATATGTTAAAATTGTAAATATACATTTTATTCCTACCAAAGTTTGCACAATATTTGAATTGTTATTTTTATAAGACAAATGGAATTAAACGAAATAGAATTTAACTTTTTTCTATTTTTTCTAATAGAAACCTGTTCCTTTTTCCTTTATTAACAATCAAAGAGGCATTAAAATAGAAATTAAATTAAAAAGTAAAGGATTGTGAAATAAAAATGGTGAATTATTAAATTAAATATTTTTATTGTCCTTTAGACATAACTTAAATCTAATAATACCAATAATTTAATAGTAATAATTCGTCATATCACATTGAACTGTCAAAATGTGACAAGTAAAATTTGACAGCTAAAAGTCACTACTGCAGCGACACGTGAACACATATAGTCATCTCTTTCACTCACTTGGACAAGAGACAACAATACGTATTAATAATGATATAGACAAAGATATCTGACCCGGGCATAATTCAAACTAATGATGACAGCACACTAACGCCCTCCTATCAACGTCAAACTATCACAAAATCCTTTTTATACTGTGTTGTACTTTTGTACTGTCGTATTTTTTCTTTTGTGACATTTTATTTGTCTATTTCACATAGAAAACTGTGGTAAGCATCTCAACGGGCCAAATATCTTTGTTTGACTATACTGTACGATCCCACAAGTCATAATTTGTCTGTTGTATTTATGACTTAGTTAATATAACTAAAAGTCATTTAAATTTTAAGTGGATGTCGTTTTGTTCGTTTATTTATTTTGCATAATTGAGGGTTCAGTCAAGTTTTTTCTAAATTTTTGAACTAGTCTGACTAATGTAGCTTATTTAACTATAATTTGTTATGCTTGGTTTAAAAAAAATGGTCTGAGTCATATTTTTTTTACTTCTCAAATTAAATAACGATTCATAATGGTCTTATATTTAAATATCTTAGTTTATTTGTGATGTTATGTAAATAATTGAAACTGATTTTATTAATTTCATAGCATTTTTTAAATTATCACAATAGACCCGAAAACTCGAGTAAAAGATTACTAGTGAGGTACCCTATGCTATCAAATCGATAAAATCAAGTTCTTTAATACTGTCACTATAAATAATTATAAATTAAAATACATTAATTAAATCTATAATTTATTAAGTAACTTCGAGTTAAGGCACAGTCAATCTAAATTAAAAAAAAATACTATTACAGTCTACTAGTTTGCTTCCCCGCTTCCGGGTCTTTCCTCTTCTCCTTCTTTCTATCTAGAATAGCGTAGATCTCCTCTATGGTACGGTCTTTTGTCTCTGGCACGTATAGAACAGTGTAGAACGTGCCAAGGAAACAGACCATAGAAAACATTATAAAGACCCAGTGGATTCCCAGCAGTTTGAGAAGAGGGTCGTAGGCTTTTGTTTGTAGAAAGTCACTGAGAGCGTCTACACTACTAACGAATGACGTCACCATTCCACGATGCTGGAAACAGGAGAAAAAAAAACAATTTAAAATCAGAAAACTCACTTTTTTTTGTTAATAGCTTGCACTAATTTCTCGACTGCCAGTATTGTTTCTTCATAAGGATACAATAAAAGAATGCCATATAATGTCTTTTTGAAGACCCAAAGCATCTTTGGGTCATCAAA